ATCTTGAATATCTTAAGAAATGAAAATGAGACTGGCTCTGGATTGTAGGAACCTTACATGGTCTGGCAAGAGCCATGTGATAGCCACCAAACCATAGAAACAGGCTTTCTATTCTCAGCACTATTCCTTGACACAGTCCAGTGAAATGTAAAACTTTCTATTACATATTTGTTATTAAATAGTAAATATTTGTCTTTTAACTAAGTGCCCAATTGAATAAGATTTTACTTAATGTATATTTTGCCTTTCTCCCTCCTTGCCAGTCATACCTTTAAATGTTATCAATGCCAATACTTCAAATATTTAATTTAAAAGTTTATTATGTCCTCTAAGTTTGAAAAGTTGGAGGATTAGCAAAAGGCAGGATGACATTGAACGAGATAGATTGACATAATGACTGTGGTAATGGGCTCAAGTGCATCAAAGATAATAAAGTTGGTACAGGATAAGCACAGGGCTCAGATCTTTGTGCATGGGGTCACTCTGAGTCATACGTGAATTGATGGCATTTAATAACCACATTATTCAATTTTAAAAGGATGGAGAATACCTTAAAGAGTTTTTAGAAAACAAACAAAACCCATGCAAATGGTGCAGAATTCTCTTTCTGGAAGTTACAATTTCCAATAACTCAGCAGCCTCTGGCAATGTCATTCATTGAGAAAGGCTCATGTGACCAGGCAGGTCATTAGCACTCATTATTTAACAAAATACTGCAATGGAGTGGAATGATGCAATACATGCCAACTGCATTCTAAGCAATTATATTAACTGTATACTATTAAGCTTTATATAAGCACCTTTGACCTGAAAGTGGGGCCTTTTTGAGTAGCAGCCGTTTGGTGGCTAGGGCCCCTTATTTAAACCAGCCATGACCCATTAGATGGGCTTTTATTTTTTTTTTAACAGCCCTTTAGTGGCTGAGTCTTCTTATTTAAAACATTTTTGAAGCAAAAAAATTATTCAAGAACCTGGACTTTATGAAGAAGAATGTGGCATCAGGATCAGAGGGAGATTCATTAATAACCTGCAATATGCAGATGACACAACCTTGCATGCTGTGAGGACGATTTGAAGCACTTACTGCAGACAATCAAAGAATACAACCTTCAATATGGATTGCATCTCAATGTCAACAAAAATTCTTACCACTGAGCCAACAGGCAATATCATGATTGATAAAGAAGATTGAAGTTGTCAACAATTGCATCTTACGTGGATCCACAATCCACACTCTTGATACCTGCAGTCAGGAGATCAGAAGATATATTGCACTGAGAAAGTCTGGAGTTAGGAACTTTTACAAATTACTGGGGATCAATGATGTCAGTTTGAGGACTAAGGTGTCCTATTTACGCCATAATCTTTTCAGTCAGTTGGTATGTATCTGAGAGGTGGACTATGAATAAGGATGACAGAAGAATTGATGCCTTTGAGCTATGTCATTGGAGAAAAGCGTTAAATATCTCATGAACTGCCAAAAGAAAAACAAATCTATCTTGGAGAAAGTGCACTCAGAGTGCTCCTTGGAGGCAAAAATGATAAAGCTTCATGCTTTGGATAAGTGGAAGGTCAGCAGAAGATAGGAAGACTCTCAGCAAGATGGTTTAATACAGTGACTGCTGCAATGGGCTTGAGTGTGTCAGACAGTACAAGGATAGAACAGGTTAGGAGAGGGTTCAGATCTTTTGTTCATAGAGTCTCTATGGGTCATACTCATTTCAACAGCATCTAACAACAACGTACACTATTAACCCTAGTGACACAGTGAACTCTGGTGGCCTTGTATTGAGGAGCTGTACTGCCAACACAAAGTCACCCAGTTCTAATCCACCAGCTGCTCACTAGAAGGAAAATCTAACTCAACAGCACATAATAACAGTGGCATAGTACAGAACATATCAGGTTGCTGAGAGTTCAACATTCATATCCACCAGCTGCTTCTCGGAGAAAAATGGACAATCTCTTCCTACAAAGATTTACAACTTCAGAAACCAAAAAACTAGATGGCAGTAGGTTTGATTTTTTTTTTTTTTTTGGTATACTGTTAGGCCTTTAAGAAACTTTTAAAATACGTATTACCAAAACTACCAAGTATTTGATCCCACCTTAATAAAAGCAGCCTCTGGGCTTTACAAGAAAGAATATATTCTGATTCTGATTCACTTCAGTCCAACTGAAGTCACTGGACCAGTATTCTACCTCTGCTCTAAATGAAAAAGAAAAGGAACAAAACAAAAGGCATATTTGTGGCAAATTGTTTTAATTGAGAACTTAAAATGAAATTTAAAGAATCTTATATAGAAACGACTAGAATCCAAAGGTTTCAGACCTTTTCAACATGAAAGATAATTTTATACTGTCTTGAAAGTAGCCCCAAGAATTCTGAACATGATCACAATCACATTAGTTTTCTAGAATGAGAGGGGAAAAGTAGGGCCATAGAATAGTTAAAATTTTAAAAGTCTCACATGCTTAAAAGGTAATTTCCACCCCTTTAAAGAGAAATAAAAGAAACCCTAAGCAATAAAAGATGGAGGCTCAGAATCAATTTATGTTGATCACGCATACCAAATATACATTAAAAATCATGTTACTATTTTCTCTACCTAAACAGGGAAAAAATTGACCAATATTGCCTTTTAGATCATCTCTGTATGGTTTTCCGTGGTCAGCAATCTAACTAAATTGTTTCTTGAACTACAGAAAAGTTGGCTTGTGGAAAGCCTAATAGAAAAGTCACGTTTCTAAGGTGTCTAGCCTCAATTACAGTTTGAGGCTGTCTCTCTTAAGATTGTCAGTTGCAACATGAAAAGCTTGAACTTAAGGGCTAAAACCTAACATGCAGTAAGTGATTGGAGGTAACAGTTTCACAAGCATTTCCATTAAGGTAAATTGCCACATCAATTGGGTTTTTAAGTGCCTGCAATGTTTAAAAGACTTTATTAATAACACCACCAAAATTGCTAGCAAGGATATTTTGGATAATACATAGGATCAAGGTTTCTTCTAATTAAATATATATCTCTATAATTAGGTGAACTCTTGACATGACAAAATCCACTCCAGCACAACGTAAATATTTTAAACATTAAAAAAAAAGAAACACTTCACAATTTTCTAATATTAGTTTTCAAAACTTAACACTTTCATCTAAGATGACAGTATATAAAGGTCCTACATTTTGACAATGGACAAAACTTGGAATAAAAATGTCTTGGGTCAGCTGTACCTCTGACATCAAATCTTCACTCACCTATCTGCAGGTGCTAAAGAATGTGGACATTCGCCCCATCACAGAGCCCAAAGACTCCAGTTGGAGAGGACTTGACTCATTTGATGGAAAACAGTATTTTCAAAACCATTTTCTACCCCAAAGCAACCATTATAAAGAGAAGGCACACTCCATTTAAGTTCTTACATTTGTCTGAATACATACCACATTGAGTCCTACATTGGCTAAGATTCAAATGACTGTGTATTTTAATCAAAACAAGGAATATTATACATCATCAAGACTTTGCTGAAGGATACATGGTGGAGGGGACCTGGGGGAGGGTTTGTAAAACAATGAAAGAATCTTTTCTTTTACTTTTCCATAATTTTTGACTCATGTACTTATAACTTGTTAGTCAAATTTGTGTCTTCTAGGTTGCAACACCCCCATGATACATCTTCAAGGATATGAACATGTACGGCCAAGCACAATCAATAAGAGTGCATCTAAATTCCAAAATCAATCTCCATAATAGTCTATGTGTTTCCTACTGCCAAAGGGGCCCTTTAGAGTAGTGAGAGAAGATTTTCACCCTGAAACCCACAGGGTGAAGTCTCTCTCAGGGAGGAGTGATAGGGAATGGCAAAGGACACACTGACAAAGAAGATTAATCAGAACTGGCTTTGACAAGCACTGTGGCATTTGGACAAGAACAAACTGGGAGGAGGGTAGAGAGAATAGTGCAACAATGAATGAATGGAAACCCAAAATCTCTGTAAATGTTTATGAAAATTAATAAAATATAATTATAGAAAAAAAAAGACTTTGCTATTGTTAGGTTAGGCAGAAGAATAAAGAACATTTTTAATGGGTACCATTTATTTATTTATTTTACATCCCCAGTAACAGTCTCAATTTGCAAAGTAAAGTTTCAGGCTATAAATTCTAAATCTCATTGTCAGTTCTTATACAAAAAGTACACAGCAGGTATGCCAGGAAGCCAAATCTGCAGCAAGCAATTAATTCCCTATTGTTTTCTTAGAGTCGAGGGAAAAAAATCCTGAGACAAACCAAAAAAGCTGGTAATGGCAGCTTTTGATTAAAAAAAACACCCCCGAAACAAAAACACTCACAATTACGGCATCTCTTATGGAATGTATTTGCACAATTAAGTAATAAAAACCTAGATGATGATTTTAAAAGGTGATCCTTATCCTGCAAAATTCTTAAACTGTCATAGCGTAACACATAAATGGGACAGAGCTGAAATACAATTAAGTTTAATCTCTCAAGAAGGACCACAATTCTGGTGTTGTGAGTACTACATCAGAAACTCATTTTCATCTGATACTTATAAATTCTTTCACAAAGAAAACTAAGCATTAAAAAAGGCAAGTCTTAAGTTGCATGAGGAATGATGTCATCTGCTGTGGAGTGTAAGTAGTTATCTAAAGTGGGCTGAACTTAAGCATAAGAACACTGAATGCCTAGCATCCACGGCTATGTAAAGGCATTTGGTGTCAATATCTTAAAAGATTAATATCCTTATGAGAATATCAAAGATTTAGAGAATTATCTTCATGAATAACTTTAAATATCTATGGCTTCAATGGTCTGCCCTACTGCTGAGGTAGGTGGCCAAGAGTCATTAAAATATAGCAATCTTTTGAAAATCCCTAAGAAAATTCTTGCATACTCAGTTGGTTTCTTAAACCTGTCTGGTTTCTCTTGATGCTGACACTTTTTAGAAAGAGGCTGCCTGAGCAGGTGTGCAAGATTGCCTTCATGCTCTGGCTGAGTAGCACCGCATGTACTCTGTCATCCACGGGTTATCTGAGGGAGAAGGCTTTATTCTTCTGTTTCTCTCCACATCCACAGAGTGGGTGCGTTGCCGCTGAGCAACCAGTTTCCTCTTTTCCACCTGTCTTCTGTTCTTGGCTCGTAATGCCGATTCATGAATCTAGAAAGAATTTGAAAGTAAAATAATTTAAGTAGCTCTTGTACTACTTTTTTTAAAATTTATTTTTATTTTATTATTTGTGTGTATGTACCGTCAAATCAGATCTTACTGGTACAGGAGGAGATTGCCCCTCCTTCTCCGGCAGAGCTTCTGGTGGATTTGAACGGCAAATCTCTGGAATTGCAGTGCAGCTTCTTGCCACTAGGCCACCAGAGTTCCCCACTTGTACTACTTCTTAAGAATATTCACAAAGAAGACACAGATCTTTTGCAACAAGGAGTTACATTCTAGTCTATTGATATACACTTTCCCTATAAATAAAAGTAGCTTCTAACACTACACAGCATAGGCAAGTCTGGAAGACATTATGAATGAGATGATGAGTCACAAAAGGGCAAATACTATCAAGACCTCTACTGTGAAAATAGGAGGGTGACAAGGAAAAGAAATAAAATTAACAATGAACACTTAAGGATTATGGAAAGGAAGGATCAACCTGGAATGGATACTGGACGAATGCGGAGGGAGAAAGGGAGAAGGAAGGAGAAGAAAAAAATACACATAAGGCCAGCAGGGATTAGTGGATGGATGGGGAGAATAAAAGGCAGACAAGGTACAGGGAAGAGTCTGTAAGATGCTGTGATCAATGCCAATGATCTACTCTAAGTAGTGTTATAAAACAAAATATATATATATATGAAAGACTGAATAAAACCAATTGAAACAAACAAACAAAAAAGAACTGCTAGAAAAGCTGTTTGCAGTGGAGTCAAGGCTTTTTAAATAGTACTAGTGACAAATTAAGCAGTAGGGTATTCTGCCCCATTGACCCTGATGTAAACAGTAGGCAAATGCTTTTCATGTGTTTCTAGAAACTGATTCTGGAAAACAGTTTTATTTTACACCAGTATACTAAACAATCATAAAAATTCTCATGGGATTTTTGCTACCTAAGACATTTAACACTTTAAGACATATACACAGATTGTATTAATATTAATTGGATGGACCTGTTAGAGGTATTTTGTTAAATGATTCCCTTTGAGTCTCAAATATCATTCAAAGTAAGACCATCTGCCAGGGTTCAAAAATCTTCTGTTCATTATAATTTTTAATGTAGTATTTAATCAGACTTCAACAGTTTGAGGATCTTCATTTTGCTGCTTTGAATGCATTCTTTATGTTAGGCTTGGGTGATTCCCGCCCCACCCCACCCCGTGTTTGTGTGTGTGTATGTGATGTGAAGGAAAATTTACAGAACAAATTGTTTTCACATTCAACCATTCATACACATTTGTTTTATGGCAATAATGATAATGTCCACATTGTAACCACACTCTTCCTGATAACTCCCTTTGATTCCTCTTTCCATTCGGTTTCTATCCTAACCAATCCTGCTTTCTGAGCTTTATACCTGGGAAAATACTGCCCTTTTTCTCTTGTATGGTTGATTGCTCTAGAGAATGAGTTGCTCTGTGGTATTCCTATTCACCTTATGCACTAACCCCAATGGTTTAGTGCAAAATATACCAGGCTGCTAACCAAAAGGTCAGCTGTTCCAATCTACCCTGCTCCACAGAAGCAACTGGGAAGTGTCTTCCTGTAAAGGTTTACAGCCTCCAAAACCCAAAGGAGGCTTGCTAAAGTCAGAGCTATGAGTTGATGGCAAGGCATCAACTGGAAGTTGAGCCACTGGTGTGAATTCTGTTCCAGGCTCCATGGCTGACTTAGGGGCTCAGTCTGTGGGATCCTACCAGACTCTATCAGACCACAAGCTTAGTCATTTTTATATTTTTCAGTTAGATCCAAAATTTTTCCCCCTCAATAACTTATCCCTGGTAGAGCAGTCTGAGTGGCTACTGGGCACTGTCTTGTTGTTCTGGTCTCTAGGTTAAGAGAGGCTCAGGATTGCACTAGACCTTTGGTTACGAGCATTAATATAACAGAGATCACTGTTTAGGGATGAATCACAAAGATCTTCTCATCTGAAATGTTTTCAGGACTTGACAGTCTTGGGCAAGACTAAAGCAGAGAGAACTAATATTAGAACAAATCTAGGTATGAGTGAGCAGGAGGGAACATATGCTGTTAGCAGAATAAGAAAAGCCAAGGCATTCAATGGGAGATATCTGGAAGTACAAGAGAAGAGCAACCCAGTAGCAAAGGTATCAAGGAAACTCTCTGCCATGGGATCAACCCTGCACAGTAACCCCGTGGGGCAAAGTAGAACTGAAGAACTGGGTTCAGTCAATTTGTCAGCAGTCAAGAGCTTACCCTAGATACCATTGGGACTAACAATCAATAATAAGGGAGTCAAGGAAATACTAGGTTATCAAAGCCCCCAAAAAACAGACCAGATACCTCTTTAGCAGTCAGACAAATACACACCCACACCTCATCACTCTGACCCTTCTTGAACCTTCTGGCCACAGAGAAACTCAAGAACCCTAATTCATTCACCAGCTTGGGGTCAGTAAGCCCTTTCAGATCCTAACTCCCACCCAGGTCCCCTTACCTACCTGCTAATCAGCATCCATAATCCTCTTGTTTGCTAGTCAAATGCCCAGCTGTAGGCCTTTCTGGCCCAGGCTATCATCACTACAAAGCCAAAGTACCCATGCCTTGGGATATGAAAATCAATAGTCAGACTGTTGTCCAATTTTGCCCCACAAAGGAAAAAAGAAAGGCAAAGTGGCACAGGCCCACCTCATGCATGGGGGCAGATGCACACACGTTGTGAGTTTTCTGACTTCCTGTGTCTGTCTGTTTCTCGCCCCAGCCATAAAGAGCAAATGGGTGCTTGTTTTCTCTTATTTTACTTGATGATCCTTGAGGATTTTTGGACATTCTCCTATTTCCTCTGGCAAACAAAGCACTTGGTTGTTGTCGAGGTCCTGCTCTGCTAGAGAGTTTCTCATTTTCCTTAGTTTTGGTTTGTTGTTCTGGTGTTTCTTCTACTTCCACGGGCAGTTCTTTTAAAGGAAATAGACAAAATTAAAGCATTTTAAAATGAGCTTTACATATAATTATTTTAAATATTTGAGTTGAAAAATTTATAATGCTTTATTAAGTCAGTACTATTTTCATTCTCATAGCTCAACTTGAAAGTTTCACTTAAAGCAAAATTAGAGATACAAATTAACATAATAAGTATCAAACCATTTATGGTCACCTAGAAACTAACAAGATCTATTCCAAAGCCATCATTTTCTCTAATATTCTGAGATTTAGCCTCTCAATGAAATGCTGAAGGTTAGAAAGCACAGTGATCTAACTGGGGCCTTCTCTATGAATCCAAGACAAGCCTAGTCATCTCAATGTTCTTGTTTCAGAGAACACTTCCAATTGGTAGCAATCACTCAGCATCTGCAACGTGTTAGCTTTAAAGTCACTCAACCCAAGTTCCATGTTTCTTCTTTTTGATGTTCCATGATGACCAGAAATGCCCTTTATGGGTCTTACATGTTACTTGTACAAGCTCAGTGGTTCCCTTGGTTTTAAAGGGACAAGTCACAATAGGGAGGCGTTTCCATAGTTACTAACCTGGATACACAGCCAAGTGGTCCTAGTAGAAAGAATAAGAGATAAAGGATCCTGTGCTAAGGGGCCTTCCTCACACTGCAACAGAAGTGACTGTGTGAATGGAGCCCACAGCCCACACAGCCTGGACTTCGTTCTCCTAAGCTGGGGAAGCTGGCTTTCCCATCTGAGGTGAACATCAGAATTGTTGAACTCCAAAATTGGCTATCTCCTTTAATGACCTGGATGTTTGGCATTCACTGTATACTCTTTGAAGCCTACAAATTTCAGCCTAAACTGTCATTTGACCAAGACTCTTCACACATCTATGACTATTTCATTTACTCCAGATGTGGAGACTTTAGATGCTCCAAAATCAGAATCATGTGAAGATTTCATAGACTCCTATTACAAAAGCTCACCACTTCTTTTACGTTTTGCTGTTGTTCTTGTTTGCTTCCATGTTTTCTTTAAAGCAGACAGGGCAGCCACATGTTAGGAATAAACCATCAGTACAGATCATCTGTCACTCCTGCCTTCAGAAACAACCTGAAAAATGTCCGACTAAGTAATTTATTATAGTCCATTCCAGCTCCTCATCACCAGTACCATGTCTTTATGTCCTGCAAATGAGTTATTTGGGGATAAGGCAGGGCATCCTTCCACTTTAGCATGAAGCCCTAAATCCCTGTGTCGGTCATTTGTGTCTGTGAGTGATGTGTCTAAATCCTTTCCTCTTCTCTGCATCCATAAATAGGAGGAAAAGAGGGCAAATTAGGAAGAAGGAGGGCGGATATTTGTGTACATAGTTACAATACTAGAAAAGAGTGTGAGGGGGTGGAGGGGTAACCTCCCAGAAAGAGTAGTTAATACTTTAATGGACAAACTAAAACTAGCCAAGAATAGATGAGGAAAGAGAATTTCACAAAGTTTCTATTCTGGAATGTAAAAAGTTTGGAAGCCATCCTTTCCTGCTAGGACAAGAGAAATTATGTCACAAAGCAAAACCAATACCGCTTTAAATATCTAAAAGGCAGTAGCCTGAGCATGAACTAGCTTAAGAGAGAAGAAAATTATTGGGGCTCAGGCTTAGGGTACCCAATACTCACACAGATATTTTTACTTCAGGTAAAGTTTCAGCTTAGGGACTAAGTTCACTAAAAGACTGAGACCTAATCATAAAATCAGAGAATGCTTCCCTTCCTCCCACACCTTACCACCACAGAGATTTACAAGGGATTACTACTGTAAATCCCTCTTATCAAATACATACTATCTAGCTTTAACAAAATAATCACAAGGCGTGATGAAAGGCAAAAAAACCCCCACAGACTAGAGAGGGCAAACACTGAGTCAAATTCAGATATGAAAGAGATTTTGGAGTTATCAGATTGGGAATTTAAAATAACTGATTAATATGGAACAATAACAAATGCAAGAACAGATGGCCAATGTAAACAAAGAGGTGGAAATTCCAACAACAACAACAAAAAAAACCCAAACCAAAAGGAAACACTGAAATTAAAAACACTGTAACAGAAATAAAGAATGTCGCTAGAAACATCTGAAAATGAAAAATGGAGAGGAAAAAAATCTGAAGACATGACATCAGAAATGGGAATCCTAGAAAGAGAAGACAAGAAAAAAAAATCTGAAATTAAAATGGTTCAGAACTGTTCAAAATTGTTGACAGATTGTAACACAAAATCAGGCTGCTCAGAGAACTACTATAACACACAAAGGTATACTGTACCTAAACTATGTTGCTGTTGTTATGTGCCACCGAGTCGCTTGTGACTCGTATACTATACTCGTATACTATAGAGAATAATAAAAAAATTACCAAGTTAGAATTCTGTAATCAGCAAAATTCTCTTTCAAAAGTGAAAAAGAATAAAGATTTTCTACTTGAAAGAGACCATGGCACCAGGGATATCATTACTGCTGTCACATGGATCTTGGCTAAAAGTAGAGAAACCAAGAAGGATGTCTATTTGTGTTTTATTTACTATACAAAGGCATTTTAACTGTGTGGCTCATAACAAACTATGGGTAACATTTTGAACTACATGCTTTTCGGAATCCAGCATATCTTCTTGCCACCAGCCCACAAGAGCTCCCTTATGGCTAACATTTTAAAGAATGTGAATCCCACAACAGTTAATTGTGCTCATGCAAAACCTATTCTATACCTACATACTCTGATGTCTGAACAGAGCAAGGGAACAACAGTCTATGGCTTAAAAATCAAGAAAGGTATGCATCAGGACTATGAGAAAAGACTGTATCCTTTCTCCATATCTATTCAATCAATCTTCTGAGCACATCATTTGAGAAGCTGGACTTTATGAAGAAGAATGTGGAGTTAGGATCAGAACACTTAACAACATGCATTATGACACAACCTTACTGAAATAAGGAGGACTTAAAAACGTTTGCAGCTGAAGATCAAAGACTTCTTTAATATGGATTGCATCTCAACGTCAAGAAGACAAAAATCTTCACCATTGGACTAACAGACAACATCATGACAAATGAAGAAAATATTTCAATTGTCAATGATATTATCCACAACTGATACCCTTGATACCAAAATGAAGAAATTGAAAGACTTGTTGCATTGGCAAAAATGCTTGTCAAGAACCTTTCAAAGGTGTTAAGGAGCAATGATGTAATTTTAAAAACTAAGGTGCACTTTATCCAAGCCATGATCTTTTCAATTACTTGTTTAACAAGTGGGACAATAAATAAGGATGACGAAGAATGCCTTTGAGTTTTGGTGTTGGAGAAGGATACTGAATATCACATGAACAGCCAAAAGAACAAATAAACTGTCTTAGAGAAAGTGCAACCAGGGTGCTCCTTAGAGGCAAAGATGGCAAAACTTCATCTTACCTATTTTGGGTATGTCATTATGAGGACATCATGCTTGGAAAGGTCAGTGGGAGAGATGGACAAAGTAACTGTAACAGTGGGCCTAAGTATATTAGAAATGATGAAGATGACAAAGGATAGGGAGGGCCGGGTTCAGGTCTGTAGTTCATAGGGTTACTATAGAGGGAGGAAGAAAGAAATCCCGACAGGCAGAGAAGAGGGACCCCAAGGGACCTTGAAACCCTCTGCCCACATCCCAGGTAAATGTGGAGTCCCCAAAGCCACGCGGGATCCGTTCGGGCTCTTGGGCAGCAAGAAAGCCTATGTACACAACAGTTCTACAGGACACATCACCTTTGCTCAGAAAGCATTGCCACTGGACTTAAGAGACACCGGTGACAGCATAAGAAACTGTCAAAAGCCGATGTATTTGAAATCACAGAAGCCAAGGAAGCTTCAGATATAAGCTATCAGATCAAGGGTGGGAAAATGGGAAATGGATGTTGATGGGTGTGGGTAGAAGTGGATGGGTATCCTGGCGGATGGTGGAGCAGGGAAATAAGTGAGCAAAGACACGTGTGCCAAGGGCAGGGATAACACTGATACGAATGGTTAACTCCACAATAAGGGCTATATCTTTCACTTTTCTGTAAAACGCTGGTCTGTCTGATACTTCTCCAAATCTGAACATTCAGATTAAGACAGACTAGGAAGAAGGACTGGCCATCCACTTCTGAAATAGCAGGCCTCTGAAAACCATATGTACAACAGAACACATGTAGATAACAGAAAGGGAAACTGAGGTTGAGCTTTCAGGTATGGAAATACAAAGGAAGAGGAACAGTTGTAAGCAGACAGCAGTGACTGGAACATAGAATGTGAGAACCATGAATGTTGGAAAATTAGACAATGTTAAGAAAGAAATGGAACGCATAAATATTGACATACTAGGCATTGGGGAGATGAGATGGACTGGCATGGGTCATTTTTTAAAAAATTATTATTAAATTTTATTAGTTTTAGTGAAAATTTACAGAGATTTTGGGTTGTCATTCATTCATTGTTGCACTGTTTTCTCTACCCTCCTCCCCAGTTCGTTTTTCTTCCCTGCCCCGAATGTGTTTTAATTGTCCAATTGCCACAGTGCTTGTCAAAGTCAGTTCTGATTAATCTCCTTTGTCAGTGTGTCCTTTGCCATTCCCTATCTCTCCTCCCTGAGAGACTCACCCTGATTCATAAGGAAAAGGGGATGGCGTATTCTCTTAGCTACTTCCTGCTGAAAAGGGACGCTGTAGGTTTCAGGATGAAGATCTTCTCTCACTACTCTAAAGGGCCCCTTTGGCAGTAGGAAACACATAGACTATTATGGAGATTGATTTTGGAATTTAGATGCACTGTTATCAATTGTGCTTAGCCGTACATGTTCATATCCTTGAAGATGTATCATGGAAGTGTTGCAGCCTAGAAGATACAAATTTAACTAACAAGTTAAAAGTACATGAGTCAAAAATTAAAAAGCAATAATATTGGCATGGGTCATTTTGAGTCAGATGATCATATGATATATTACTCTGGAGATGAAAAGGTGAGGAAAAATGGAGTTGCTTTCATAGTTAATAAAGCCATTGCTAGATCCATCTTGAAGTACAATAGTGTGAGTGACAGGATAATATCCATACGCATACAAGGAAGGCCAGTGAATATCACTATCACTCAGATATATGCACCAACAACCAGAGCCAAGGAAGAGGAAATAGGAGATTTTTACCAACTTTTACAGTAGGAGATAAATCGAAAATGCAGTCAAGATGCATTAATAATAATGGATGACTGGAATGCAAAAGTTGGGAAAAGAGAAGAAGATTCAGTAGTTGAGAAACATGGACTCGGTCGGTGACAGAAATGGAGCTCGAGAGAGGATGACTGAATTTTGCACAATAAATGACTTATTCATTGCAAATATGTTTTTAAGAGACATAAACATGGGTTATATACATGGATTTCACCTGATGGTATGCAAAGGAATCAGATAGATTACATCTGTGGAAAGAACTTCTGGAGAAGCTCAATATCAGCTGTGAAAACTAGGCCAGGAGCTGATTGTGGAACAGACCACCAACTACTCATATGGAAATTCAAGCTGAAGCTGAGGAAAATTAAACCAAGTCCATGGGAACCAAAATATGATTCTGAGTCTATCCCACCTGAATTGCAGAACCATCTCATGAACAGGTTTGAAGCCTTGAACACTAATGAGCAAAGACCATATGAGCTGTGCGAGGATATCAAGGGTATCATCCAGGAAGAGTGCAAATGGTCATTGCAGAGATGGAAAGGAAGAGAAGACCAAAATGGATGTCAGAAGAGACTCTGAAACTTGCACTGGAGTGCAGAGAAGCCAAAGCACAAAGAAGAATTCAAGATACTAAAGAGTTGAATAGAAGATTTCAAAAGGCAGCACAGGATGACAAAGTAAAATATTATATTGAAATGTGTAAGAAGTTGGAGTCAGAAAATCAAAAGGGCCGAACTCGCTCAGCATTTCTTAAACTCAAGGAACTGAAGAACAAAATTCAAACCTCGAATTGCTATAATCAAGGATGCTTTAGGCAGAATATTAAATCATCCAGGAAGTATTAAAAGAAGATGGAAAGAATATACTGAGTCACTGTATTGAAAGGAATTGGCAGACACAGAAGAATTTCATTAAACAACATATGAGCAAGAGCCTATGG